AAACTTATAATGGAATCGCGAAGATTTTGTAAATATTCCGAATCCGAGCAATTTAATTTGGAATCCTCATAAAAATCACCTGGCGAACGAATTGTTTTACCATAAGTTAACTCTGCTGCACTAACGCCACTGTCACTGCGGGTTGCGACTCGTAAGCCTAACAACACGACTGGAAGCTCGGTCACCCAGTTACTATTGCAGTTTAAACGTGCCGTAAGTGGCACTTTTAGTGCTCGATGCCATCGCTCAACCATGCCGTTACTCTGCGGATGATAAGGTGTTGTTCGCATTTTAAAAATACCTAGGTACTTCATTAGCTGACTGAAAAGATCACTCTCAAATTGTCTACCCTGGTCGCTAGTAAGCTTCGAAGGGCTTCCAAATCGAGATATCCAGCCTTCGAATACTACCTTGGCTACTGTTTCAGCTGTAATATTGTGAACTGGAAAAGCTTCCGGCCATCCGGTAAAACGATCTATCATTGTTACGCAGTATCTATGTCCATCTGCCGATGTAGGCAACGGGCCTACAATATCTATATGAACATGTTGGAAACGGTCTGCACGCTCAAACTCTCCTAATCCTGCTATCGTATGCCTATTAATTTTTGATCTCTGGCAACTAAAACAGGTTCTAGTCCAACTCGCTATATCCTTAAGCATATTAGGCCAAAAGAAACGTTGTTTAATTAAAGTTCTGGTAGTCTTAACACCGGGGTGACTTAAATCGTGAACCGAATGAAAAGCAATTTTCCTGAATTTATCTGGTAAATATGGTCTAATTCTGTTAGATGAAATTTCGCAATAAATATATTTTTCGCAGTCTGGCAATAATATTTGTTTAAATTGTAATTTACTATCTGTTGCTTGCAACGCTTGCTGTAGGTATTCGTCACTAAGTTGTTGCTCAGCTATTTCTCTAAAATCGAGTAATGTTGGACAACTGATCGTTTCTATCCGCGAAAGTGTATCTGCGACTACATTTTGCTCACCGCTGATATGACGAATATCGGTGGTAAACTCGCTAATGTAAGATAATTGACGAATTCTTCTAGGGCTTTCTTTGTTGTTATTTAATTTTGAAAATGCAAAAACGAGAGGCTTATGGTCAGTATAAATAGTCAGTACACGGCCTTCCACTAAATTTTTAAAATATTTGATAGCCATAAATACTGCTAACAATTCCCTATCATAAGTAGAATATTTCGTTTCAGCTTGTGAAAGTTTTTTTGAAAAATACCCTAATGGTTGCCATTTGTTGTAATTTTTCTGTTGTAATACAGCACCTACACTAGTATCCGAGGCATCGGTCATCAGTGCTAAATTAGCATCTGGTAAAGGATAAGACAGTGTAGCGGCGCTTTGCAAGCTTTCCTTAGACTTCTTAAATGCTTCGACAGCCTTATCAGTCCACACAATTAAAGTTTTATCGCGTTTTTTTGTATTGTGCAAATATTTATTCAATTCGAATTGATATTGAACAGCGTTTGGAATGTGTGCACGATAAAAATTTAACATACCGAGAAAACGGCGTAGTTGATCGACTGTCTCGGGTTTCGGGAAATTTACAATAGCTTGTACTTTATCTTGAAGTGGTCGCGCACCCTCCGTAGACACTTCAAATCCTAAAAACTCAAGTGTTGACTGACCAAAAACACATTTAGATAGATTAATAGTTATTCCATATTTATCAAATCTTTCGAAAACTGCCTTTAAATGCTCTTTGTGTTGACATCGATATAACTGAATAAAAAGTCTAACCCTTGTAGTACTACGGTATCCATGAAACGCTGGAATGTTTGAGCTGCGTTACGTAATCCGAAGATCATGCGCGGAAATTCAAACAGTCCAAAGGGCGTTATAATGGCAGTTTTTTCAATATCCTCCGGGGCAACCGGTACGAAATGATAAGAACGAATTAAATCTAACCGCGTAAAAATAGTTTTATTTCCCGCTAATAAATATTTAAAATCATGCAGTCTCGGAATCGGATAGCGATCCGGTTTTGTTATGGCATTTAATTTTCTGTAATCACCGCAAGGTCGAATATCACCATTTTTCTTTGGTACCACATGTAATGGACTGGCCCATTCGCTTTTAGATGGCCTACAAATGCCTAATTCCAACATGTGGCTAAACTCTTCCTTAACTTTTCTATAACGGTCAGGCGGGAGAGGTCTGGCTTTAGCGTATACCGGTGGGCCCGTAGTTTCTATATAATGACACACAGAGTGTTTAGGTGTCTCTTTGTACGATACTATTTTCGTTATGTCCGGGTAACAAAGCAATAAATCATGCCAATCACTATTACCTAAAAGAGTTTTAATAGATAATTCACATTCGTTATGACTTACAACAGAGGCGAGAACATTTAAATGTGTAATTTGATCTACTAACATGCGCGCGCTCATGTCGACTAACAGCTGATAATGGCTTAAAAAATCCGCTCCTATTATGGGCTGTTTAACATTCGCTACGATAAAATTCCATTTAAATGCTCTCCTTAAATTAAAATCTAAAATTAAAGTACGCATACCATAAGTTTTTATCTCGGTTCCGTTAGCTGCATATAGTTTGTATTTATCACTCGCACTGTAATCGGAAACGCACTTTTTCGATGCCGGAATAACCGAAACGTTCGCACCTGTGTCAATTAAGAATTTCAGTCCACTTTTTTTGTCTTTAACACATAGGCGGTTATTCGATAACCCGATACCAACCTCCGCCTCCGGCCGTATCGCACTTAGTTTTCCGCTGACTCTTGTGGCTTGGGCTTCCGCCAATTACAGGGCTCAATGCACTTTACGGCCTTATCTCCGTACCGATAATGGTAGAAACAAAGCCAATTAGGATTTCGTCGGTTTCTGGAATTCTCTCTCTCTCGACCTTGTGACGGTGCCCGACTGAATCTTTTTCCAGCACTGTAGTTCCTACCCCTGCACGGTCTACCACGATCCGCTTGCCGAGAGCGCCTTTACTCCGCCACTTCTATGCTGAGACGTGTTACCACCGCCGCCAGGTCGGATTGCTCCGAACATGTAATTTTTGACTCACGCTCTGAGGAGTTGCTGCTGGTTGATACTTCAGCTATATTGGAATGCCCAGTGGCCTCCATGACCTTATCAGCCACTACAGCCAGATTTGTTATATCTGTCTCCTGTGTTACGGCTAACACAGCTTGCACTGGTGGTGGCAAGTGGCTATTCCACATGATTTGTAATGTCGCGTCTGGTATTTTCCCACGGGCTAGATCTTTCATGCGCCGTAAGAGCTGCGAAGGCTTTTGACTGCCAAGCTCCATTTCACCAAGAAGCTTCTGGAACTGCCTCGTCTCCGACTCCTCAAATACATGCAGTAGTCTATCTTTGAGGGTCTGGTACTTGTGCTCACTTGGTGGTGATAATAATAAATCGCTCACCTGTGTAATCGCAGCCTTACTTAATTTAGTAACCACTAAATTTTGTTTAGCGGCGTCCGATAGTTTCTGTGACTGGATGACAGCCTCAAATTGGACAAACCAGAGTCGCGGTTGGTCTGCCCAAAAATCAGGAACTCTCGATGAAATGGTGATGGAGTCCAAAGATGATGAAGTCTCTGGCTTAACTTCGGGGTTGTGTTCCGAAACACGCGCTTGAGAACTTTCATTTTGTGGATTCATTGTTTATACTGCACTTTATAATAAAATAAAAAATAAAAAAAAAGTGATATAAATGTTAATTAAATAAAATGTTCAAAACAACTAAAAACGTAATGTTCATAACACCGGTCACCACTTTAGGGTATTAAGTGTCGGACCCTATATTAATTTATCAGAAGGTTAAATAAGAAAACACGTTCACTCTGTAACTCCATATATTAGCGACTAGTTAAAAAGTCTTTGTTCTACAGACGCTAACAAATTGTTTATAAGCATCTTACAACTAAACTGTACATGTACATGTAGGCATATGTGTCCCTACACTTCCTATTATTATATTTCATATTTGTTTCACACTTCGAAGCATTATCATACTTTACTTGTAATTCTTTTATAATTAAATTTAGTGTAATAAAATTTGCTTTTTTTAAGACCTTCGGCTGCAGATAACTTATTTACATGAAATATAATTACAATGACAAATTGAATTGTAAATAATGGTTAAGTTTTAATGGCTTATATATGAACTTGAAATTCCACTATCATTTTCATCCCTTTATACGCTTTATTCGGAATAAAATAGATAAACATATTAATGAAACAACTTCGCGTTTGTATTTAGTTTTAGACGTTTCGGATCCTTTACAAGGAACGTGTGAAAGTCGTCTCATGGATAGTGCGTGTGAAAATATAATAAATCAACAGATAAACATAATAAAATCTAAAATTAAAAGAAAAGACTCTCATAGAGTTAAGGTTTTGTAATTTTTTTTTTATAGTCAAAAACGTCAATAATTTATGTGTGAAATTTAATATTCTTACATATTATGTATATTAGTGAAAAAGATTCGCATTTTGTTTTCTGTTTTTCATCGTTTTTGCGAAGCATTTTTGTACTTTCTAGGCGATAGTTGAATGAGTATTGAACTGGAAAACGAAAAAACTAAGCCAGCCGTCTTTGTTTTAGTAGCTTTATATTTTTGGTATGAATTGCATATCTAGACACGTTAATATCATTGTTCTCTTGTAGAGATACTCTTTGATGTTGTTGTTGTTCTTTGTTGATGTTGTAGCTACATATTCTTAATCTGTGATTCTTTGGTCTGTGGCAATAACAGAAAATCCGTGCAGAAAATAATCAGAAAATGTTTGCTTGAAAAATGCATTGAAAGCCTTAATCTAGCTACATATTGTTAATTTGTGGCTTTGATCAAAGAATACTTTTAAATATAAGGAAAGATTTAGTCTAAGATTGAAAGTTTCATGAAGTAGCTACAATAGGACTAACTAAGTTGAAGTACAATAGTTGGTAAATACATTAATTGTTTTATTATTAAATTAAATATTTTCTTAATTCAAGAATTATGGATGTTATTGAAGAATTGTTAAAAAGTATATCAATTAATGACTTCAATATCGGCTCCGCACACTGGGTGGACGTAACTCACATAAACAATCCACACAGCTTCTTTGTACGTCCTACAGTATACAGAAAGTATTTGCCTGTTGTGCAGGCATATGGAGATAATTTACTTCCTGCAGATTTGCAGTTACAACAAATCGTTGTTTTCAAGTCAAAGCTTATGAAGTGTCATGTTAGGGGTCAAGTATTGTCTATTCAAGATGAGGACAGTGAAACTACATGTGACCTATACGCTCTAGATAACGGTTGCATTGAGAAATCTGTGAAACTAAAGAAAGTGTATAAACCATTCCATACCTTCAACATTCCAACTCTAGCAATACATTGCCAGTTAGCAGATTGTCAACCACAAAATGAGACATGGAGTCAAAAACCAATAGAATCTATGAAATATTTTGTGGGTAAAGAGAGAGCTAGAATTATTATAAGAGGAAAGACCATAGATTCACTTATAGTGGAGTTGCATAACTCATGTCCTGATGATATTGCTACTATGTTGGCTTTATGTGGCTACTCAACACTTGGATATGGTGAGAACATGGTTAGTAGATTTCCTTCAACAACTACTGAAAAACATTACTTTACTTTTAATGAACTTAAGGTTGGAGAAGAAATTACTGTCCGTATGCAGATTGGTCAATCATTAACATCATTCTTTGTAGCGCAAGTTTCGGATTACAAACGCTATATTAATGAAAGAGATAATTTCACATATGCCTCTAAAAAACAACAAATTTTGAGATTAGAAGATGTTAAAGCAGGTTTACCCGTTGGTGTACTAATTGACACATACATGAAATATGAGAGAGCTGTAATCAAAGAGATTACAGTACCAGACAGTAGGGTTAAAGTACAACTAATGGACTGGGGAAAGATATTAGAAGTCCCATATAATTCATTAAAACCTATATCACACCAATTTATCACTTATCCTGCTATGGCTATATATTGTTGTGTAGAAGAAAACCAAACTTGGGATAATAGCCTATATAAATTTTTGTACCCTGGTTATGAATTTAAGATCACTGTTGTTGCAATAGGTAATAAATTCGATTCACCATATATTGTTCATATATCACCCATAGTTTGAACTTCAAATAAAAGAAATACTAAATAGATCAAATCGGAATTCATAGGAATTAGATTTTTTTAGATTTCTTACTTTTTTACTCTACTTCAAGTTATATAGTATTAATCTCTTACCATAAAGATGGAATGTAAGTTGTCAACACAAGGGTAGGAATTTCTCTTTATGTATCTGGATGATGATGATCCTTTATTAATACAATAACAACAGTAGAATTAGTATGGTCTTCTCTACTTAGTAGTAATTAATAAACATATATTTGGATATAGTTATGTATTGCCAATTAATATGAATGTACTATACTTTATTTTATTTTTTACTTTATTTTTACTCTTAGAAGCAAATATTTTTCACCCAACATATTGTTTTATTATTTACGCCCGCAGTTAAAGTATGGGCTATGCCAATTTTTTGGTGAGCGGAGGAGCCATCCTTTCAACGCCACGTTTGCATGCCAACTGAGTTAGGGAAGCGATCTAGTGCAGTGTAATCACAACGACGCCAACCGCCCTAAATCGAGGCCGATATATCGGGCCCGATAGATTGAGTAGTGTAATCGGCGCATAACTTTGGCGGCGATTTTGTATTATCTTCTGTATTATGGGGAGCATACTAGGTTCTATGGGCAGTATAGAATTGAGGTCTGTAGAGAAATACCGGATTCTCTGGATTTATTAGAATTAGACATAAATATAAATAAAGTCCTAATTATAAGGAGTAGAATTAAGTCGAAACATTGGGAGGAAACAATATTATGTGTACATTTTAATAAATAATTACACATCCGGGTTAGATGGCATAAGAGAACACTGCTGTTATTGTTTTATTGGTCGATGTATACTGGGATGCTGTGCTCATATAATGACCATAGTTTGGTATCTTGGATGGGCCAGGTATGAACAGAATGTAGCTGCTCCTGCAGCATTCCGTGATGAGGTATTCAATAGAGTTGTAATAAAGAAAAGAAAAATCAACATGTTGTTTTGCTATATCCTTTTGACATTAGTATTTTCACTACTACTTTATATAAGTTATAGTGTAAGATGGAAAAATAGAGTTATTGAGAACAATCTTAAAAATTCTATTATTTTTTTGATGCTCATTGGTTTGTAGTGTGTACATCTCCAGCCTCATTATAAATAATGTGTTTAGTATAATAAAGTCAGTCAAAACGCAACATTTGTCTAATTCACACGTACTCCCAGGTCCCCACATTGCATGGCGACCCTGCCAGTGCTGCCCGTAGGCAGCGCTGCGTAGCTGGTTTTTTTTAAGTTTAAATAAGTGCGCGCGTGCGTTGTTAAAAACAATAATATAAAATAATAATACGAACAATAAATACATAAGAACAATATGAACAAAGTGGTAAATATAATACATGGATAATTTATTATTTTAAATAAATTTATCTGTCAATTGCTGAAATAAATAAGACAAATAATTGGTCAAAATATATTTACACGAAGAAGGAAAAATTATGGAAAAAGTAAAATATTTGGTAAATTGAAAGCTGGGAGCCGGGAGATGAAGGAGTCGGATGAGGAGCAGCTGGGAGAAGTTCCGGTCATTGGGATCAATGGATAAATGGACTGGCAAGAAAAAATCATAAAAACAAAATAAAATATTGTTCCTATCATGGTTTAAATTAGGATTCCTATTTTAAAGAATAGTCAATATTATCATCTTGTTTAAATGTATTTTAATGTTATTGCATTAAAATTAGGATTTCTGTATACTATTTTTTTTTTCAGTGTAATATTTTATCAATATTTAACATGTACGTAAGTTTGTAACAATTATTAATATCTATATCTAATTTCAGGATAGCATTTATACAATGATTTGACATCTACAAGTAAGTCATTATTAATACTCCCCAAAAATTTAAACGCCGATATTAAAACATTAAAAATGTTATCTGTTACCTTTTTGTATGCTTTGATTATAGACTACATATACATATAATAAGTCTTTTGAATAACGAGAAATTATGGTAATATTATTATTTTAAATTGGATTTTATTTGGTTATTATTACTTCATCGCTTATGAGAATTACACATAGTTACAATTTGTATTTAATAAAACCATAGTTATCATATTTGAAAGACTGCTAAATTGATATTAATAGTTTAATTTCATAATTGAGTTCAAAACTGAACAATAAAGTATCTACTTAGTAACTAACAACACGTGTAGTATGTATGCATTTAATAAGTACGTGCAAGTTGTCTTTGAGATTAAATTTCAAATAAATTTATTTAGTAGTCATTTGGAAAAATTTCAATAAAGAAGAAAACAAGCTAAAATACAAAAATAATGTTAAAATCCTTCGATGGTATAACATTAATTCAAAGTTGGTATTGAAATTGTAATTACTCTACTGCTTCATTAAATTTTGAAAAGAAGCTAATACTACGAATATATATAAAGTATCGCAAAGCTTATTAATCATGTTACATATTTATATATTATTGTCACTTCATTATTACTTGAAATCGTATAATGTAATGAAAATCAGTTAGCTACAGAATCACTAAGATAAAGGGTATTAATTATCTTTCCAAAAATGAAACTTGACAAGATAGACTTTATTCAATATATATTTTCTTATAGAAAAATACTAACACGTAGTTTCAAATTGTTTTTATTCAAATTTGTATGTTTATCAACAACATAATTAAGATTAATATCATTTGAAAGTATAAGGCATTATTTTTCGTAATAATGTATTCAGGCTAGTATCTAGTAGTTTAGATAAACACGTGATAAGCAAACTCCAATCATTTACAAATTGCCAAGGTCTGCTCTGCCAGAAAATGTATATGAACGAAAGACCGAAAACTGCGGATTCAATTCCTGATTGAAACAATATCTTATAACGTATATAAAAGTACACTTTTAAAAGTTATATTATTATCAGACTTAACGGGTATAAAATATCATCGGTTGTTAAACTTTTTATTTAATTACCAAAGTTGTAATAGATTAACCAAAATTTTAAAATAAAAAATAGTAAGTTGAAATTTTGCGATGCGCTGAATAACATAGGTAACACAAAAGGAAGTTAGGTATTGTATTTCTATATCCTTACAATGCGCAATGCATCTGTAGTTTTGCAAGCTGTCATTAAGGTGAACCAGTAATATGAAGATAAACAATATCACTTTAATTTGCCGGTTATGTTGATCTTTATTTAATATTATATTTCAAACAATAACACTGTGCAGTGTTGATATCTTTTAATAATATCGTAACATGTGTTTATAGCAAACTTAATCGATGTCGTTGAAACAATTATTGAAGCAAAGTAAGAATACAATAATGATTATTCTGATACGAAATTTTACCAAGAATTGAAATTAGAAAATAAATCTAAAAGAAAAAATTGTTAAATAGGGCGTAATGAAAATTTATTTAGAAAGAATCAGTTATGTAAGTCGTATTAAAAATATTAGGTACAGACGAATAGCGTGAGAATATAAGTTGTTGAATGAGAATGTGAATTGTATTAAAAATCTTTTTGTAACTTAAAGTTTGCAATTAGGTACAGTATGGATGAGAAAAGAAAATGGTAATGTGTTTTTATTATTATGAAAGTTTTGGAATGATATGTAAAAGTTTATATTTGAATGTTTGATAATAATTGGGTTCGTAAAATTACATAAGCCGCTGGACTGATCACCCAAGTGCTAAGAAATTTTTATTAATCTAATTATTTATATTTTGGAAAGTAGTTTTTCTTTTAAGGATTGGAATGAAAGTTTATAAGTAAAAAGCTCGATTATACGGTACACAGTAGGAAATAGGTACTATAGGGATCGGGTCCTTCAGTCTTATCAATTGACGAACGAGATTCTCATTTGAATACTGTTGGAGACCAAAGAATGTCTTAATTCATGACCCTATGAAAAGAAATGTGTATGAAAATGGTACATGGAGGGTCGGATCCTTCCATTCGATCATGGTGCAAACGAGATTTCTCCGTGAGATAAGTTGGAGTCCAAAAGAGGCTTAAACCGTGACCCCCAAAATAATTAGGTTGTGGCCACAACCCAAATGGCATGATATTGTCCATTTAATATTATAGAATATATAAAGTCGACTATAAATAAATAATATATGTACCAATATGAATGAATAAAATGAAAATGAAAGTACGCCGGCGCCGAGCGAACAAACGAGTGAAAAAATGCGTATTAGGCAAAGTACCTACGTATGTAATGTGTTATGAAATAAGTGTACCGATATTATGGGAAATTAAGAATACGAGCAAGAGTATGGAATAAAGTATGATCAAATAAATGTTAAATAAAGAAAGATGATGAATAAGCATACGAGTAAATTGTTGTATCTGAAGTATCGAAAAATTAGAAATAATGATTATGAAAGATGATATGATATGAAATGATTTACTACGCAAGATATTTGATTGAAGACAGACCGTAAATTTTTTATGGAAACATTAAAATCTCATATATGTATTTATAAATTAGCACATAACTATGGAAAAAGTGGACTGTTTTTAATTTTCTTCATTAGTAGTGTTGGTTATTTTAAGGACTAATATTTAAGTTGGTAATAAAAGAAAATAAAGGAGAATATTGAACGTCAAACAAACGTCGAGATTTCAGTTTAAAGTTAAAAAGAAAGTCTGTCGTAAAGGAAAATGTTTTAGTTAAAGAAAGTAAGAGAATGATAATAATTATTATATTTTTGAGATAGATACTAGATTTTGAGATGAAAAATAACGTCACGATAACAATCAAAGATATTTAATACTAAACGAAAGTTCATTTAAAGGTAATTACAATAGAAAATTATTTGACTTTAACTTATGAAATGATTGAATAAAATTAGATAGTTAAACAAAGATATAGATATTTTAAATACAATTTTTTAAACTTTTCAATAAGAAAACGTGAAACTGCTATTATTGTATACTATGTAAAAGAAAAAAAAAAATACTTTTTTTGTATTAAAAATTATATATTATTATATGAA